TACACACTGTTTGTCAAACTGATGACATCAATTCACAAACATGTCTTGATGCTTAATTTGTAATATAATTAACATATTTAAAATATATTAAGATGTGTCACATTAAACAATATAAACTTTCTCTCTTTACATTTGAAGGTATGAATAAATGAAACATTAAGCAGTCAAGTTTTCATATTTTAATGTCTAGCTGTATGATTTTTTTATTGTTATTGAATATATTATCTATTAATAAAGATATATTCAATTGACTTCAACAGTTTTGTTAGTTGAATAAAGATTTGGATTAACATATCTATAGGATCCAAACATTTAATTTAAATCTTTCTTTGTGTTACTTATTATGTTATGCTTGGAGATTGTGAATGTCTTATTTCATACAGATATTTTAAAAGTTATGACTAGGTTTGTTTCCAATTTAATTATACTTTTTTAATGGCTATCATAATAAATGGAAATATTGTGAGTTGAAAATTAATTGTAACAAGTCTGTAAATAACAATGTTTCTAGAATTTAAACTATAACTATTTAAACTATATAAACATACTGTTTAATCATGGTAGGGATATTGTGTGGCTTTTACATTTGTGTATAATATCACATAAATACTTAATTTTTCTTAATAACTTGTAAAGGTATACACACAGTTTAAATGCAACTTCAGTCATCAAATTTAGCATTCTTATGAAGGGCTTGTAGGAACATTTGTATTATTAACCAGATTTTATAAACATAAACTTTTGCATTTGAGAATGAGTGGTTTCCATTACAAAATATGAATGTTTCTACTGTATTTTATAATTCACTAATTATAGGAAGTTGATGATGAGGCTTATGCTAAAAAGCTACAAGAAGAAGAACTGAGAAGTAGAAGAAGAGCTGTAAAAAGACGGCCAGCTGTATGTTTTTGTTCAAACATCTTTCATTTGTATTAGATATAGCAAGAACTAATTAATTCCTTTTAGTTACTTATATACTGCTCCATAAATTAAAAACTTAGAATATCTTATTTGCATGAAACACATATTTTTATTCAGAAATGATGATGTTCTCACTATAACTAACAGTCCAGTGTGTGCTTATTTTGTTTTTCCTTATCAAATGAGGATTTAATCTAAAACAGATTTGAAGGAAAACAGTGTCCATTTAATAGTTGGTGTTCATACCTGCCAACTTTTCCAAATCCATAAATCTTTGGAATATTTTGCTGTCACTTACTGTATTTGCTAAACCTAATTAAACATTTGACATCTTGTCGTAAAAGAAAATTTTTATAGCTTTCAAACAGACATAATTTAACATAAAAATGTTTTCTGGAATGAAATATACTTTCATCAAAACTATAAAAAAATCCCAGATTTGATTGTTCCAAAGTTTGAACTTCACATTAGAATCCTTGTTAACTCTTACAGAAGCAATGGTTATCCAGTACCTCAAGAAATTAAAAATTGATGCTCAAACCATTTTATTTATTCTATGTTGATATAGATAGTAAAATCTCTTCTGTCCAGTCATTTTTAGCCAATAAGTTCTGGATATTTTGAAAGCTGCACTTAATTTGTAGTTGTTGAGACCATATGCTGTAATATCGTAAAAGGATGGCAACAAAGGGTTATAGAAATTTAGCCATTGACATAAAAGGACAATCATGTGAAAAACAAGACATTTATCATCATATTTTCAAGATTTCAAGTGATGATAGTGTCTTAGCAAATATGAACTTGTACTTTGGGATGCCAGACAAATTCTAAAAATGTCTTAAATGCAGTGCTTAAAGTTGTTATTAGTAGTTTTTTGCTTCACTTTTTGATGTTTTTTGTTATATGTTTTAAATTAATTGTGTTTTATTAGTTTTAACATCACTGATATTCCACTAAGCTCGCCTAAAAAAAGCCATGTAAGAGTTACCCATGGATGTTTTAAAAAGTTGGCAGGTATTGTTGCTAGAAAAAAAATGCCCACTGATTTATAATCTAAGGTCAGTTGGTCCTCTTATTTTCATATTTCAGTTTTCGTACTTTAAGATCTCTGACTTTTTCATATGTTCAAGTATTATATGAAGATAAACATTTCTCTAAAATAGTTACAATACTAGGAGAGAGAGAATTTTTTACTATAGTAATACATTTCCAAAACTTGCTAAATTATTTAACTCATTTTTATAGTTTACAGCTTTTTTAATGGTAAGTGAATGTTATTTAAAAACTTTACAACCAAAATCTAAGTTAGTCATTATTGCACACTGTTCAGGTCAGTGTCTTGACTTGTGGACACTTGGCTTGGAAATGTGTGCTACAAAAAACTGCTTTGAAATCAAAACTCTGTGCCTTTTATGACACTTGTGGTCAGTTTCAGAGGCACATTTGTATCAAGTTTGGAAATCAAGTAATATTCAAGATATGTTGTGTTAATATTTTAATGGTACATATTTTGTCATTTAATAGGTAAAGTTTCTTTCACAGAATTTGAATTTAATGAAGTTTGCTAAGCTACTATAAATAAGGTACCCTTTATGTTTCATAAAAATCTTTGGCCTAGTTTAACAATAAATTCAGCATTGTAGGCTACAGGTGGTGTAGGTTTGTTTTATTTGTGGGCCTAACTTTACATCCACTCTCTTAATAGCCAGGTAAAAAAGAACCAAAAGAAAAAAAGAAAAGTGACAAACCCAGACAGAAAAAAGGTAATTTCAAGGGAATAAACCTATAATTCTGCAATTTTCTGTACTAAGTCTCTTTAAAAATTATTATACAAATATTTAATTTAGATGTATATAACTGTGTATTTAGGTAAACTTTTTCATCAGTATAAAATTTGTGCTGCTTTCAAATACAAGGTAAATCTTAAGGAAACTGCAAGATGACAATAGCATTAATATTATGAAAACTTGAATTTAAAGTCACTTCCAATACAAAAGAGTTTTAAATTAAAACCTTTAGGTGATTGTAATTTTATCCAGAGAATCATGATAATGCAAATTTAGAATCTTTGACATCTCTCGGTAGGTTAGCATTGAGTTTATGGAATTAAAATGCTAAAATTTGAGGTTTGATTCCCCATGACAGACATAGCACATATAACCTATTATGCTGCTTTTCATTAAAACAAATGAATGATAATCTGTGCCAAATTATTGTAAAGAAAAACAATTTTATTTTATTCTTTACACTAATATGTTCTTTATTTCAAAGCTAAAGATAGTATATTTTCTGTGTTGTAATTTCATAATGTTCTTATAAATTGAGAACAATTTCATACTGACAGATATTTATATACCATAGTCTTGGTGTTAAATTTTTGCTGTAATGTATGTTGCATGAAGTACTCAAAGTTAACTCTGGCAGCTTTCTTATTTCCTTTTTTTTTTTTTTTTGCTTTAAAGATATTTTTACATAACTAATTCCATAGTAATAAAACAATTTGAAAACTCGGTAAGGTGTAGAATAAGTGCTGTACAAGAGTGATTAGTAGCTGCAATACAGTCTGTGAATTTGTATTTCAGCCTTATTTAAGGCTGATTTTTGTATGAAGGTGGTTTGGCTTTCATTCAGGAAAAATATGATTAAACTTTTTTTTTTCTGTCACAGAAACTGCTTATACAAGGAAGTGTCTTCTCTCTCCAGAGCTAGCAGGGCTTGTTGGTGCTAATGAGGTTCGTTTGTTATGTGTTTGTGGTTTAAGTCAAAAAGTCTCATCAAGACACTACATATATGTATCTTGATTTTACTAAATTTAATTGTGCTTTAAAAATAGTTACTGCAAAATAGTTAAGTTTGCCCAGGCATAGTGTTTAAGTCACTGGTCAGATTGGTGGTCAATTGACTTGAAAAAGTAAGCTAAATTAGTGTTTTGAGATCACAGTTACCACCACTGAAAATGTGCTTGGCTGTTCAATTTCAAAGCTACGATAAATCAAGAAAGAGCTTTGTGAATCTTGCCTTGCCTTATTTGGTTGTTGGTTTTGCTTGGTTAACTTATAACACTGTTTTAACATGTAATGAGTGAAAGAACTGAATTACAAGATATACTGTGTGTAATAACACAAATATATTTTTAATTGTGTAAAGTGAAAATTAAACTAGTACATTCATAAACAGTAAGCTGTCTTTTCCTGCATAAAGCCTGTTGTGATGTGTAAAGAATTCATACTTCTTCTTGTCTAAACATTTTTAATATTAAAAGGACTATATTTTATTTATCAAATGTTATTTACCTAGTTTTTAATATAAGTAAATCGTAATGTTAAATTTTTTTTATACAAGACAACCTCAGTATGTTTGCATAAGTATCTCAGATGAAATTTTTTCAAAATTTACTCATTTTATTGAAAGAAATTATATGAAGTTAAATCCTGAAATAAACTTTGAAGACTTTTGTATGATTGTTACACAAACGGGCAAATTTCATAACATGATGAATATGAAGTGGTTACACAATAAAATATTTTATCCATTGTACAGGTATGAGTACTTTCGTATGTAATCTTAACAAAATGACACATATATCTTCTTTCTTTTTTTTATTGTTTCTTTAACTTTAGACATAAAAAATATGTTTCTGATATTGATTCAGAAAAACTAAAATTTTACTTACTTGCAGTAAAATTTATGCTTTGTTTTACTAAAAAAGTTTAGCTTCTTCCATAAATTTTTATAGCCAGATATCACCTTGAGAAAATTAGTATGCACTCTGTTATAGTAGCATAGACTTTGCTAGCCAGACCTAATATATATATCAATGGTTATTTACTTTCACATTTTTGTAACCCCTGTCATTTCCATAAAATACCAGACTTAAGTTTCAATTGTTTTTTTTCTTTTACTCAGTACCAATAGTAGAGGAACTTCACTTATAAGCAAGATTATATTAACAATTTTTCTGACACTTTTAATGTTTTTTGCATAAGTTAGCTCATTTTTGAGATCTGTCAAACCAAGAGTTAATAGCATATGCAATTAAGAAATTTTTCGTCGTATAGATTCAGAATACAATCTTTAATTTTCAATAAATATTGTATAAATTTGCACAATAAGAGGTTTTTCGAATTTTAAGTTTAGGATTTGACATTGCAGATACAAACAACAAGATTAAACAGATTAAACAAATAAACAGACAGATTTTATTTTCCTCTATTTCACAGATGGCAAGACATGATGTTGTGAAGAAGATGTGGGAGATAGCAAGAGAAAGAAACCTTTTTGTAAGTGTTATAAGTGGCCTAAACATTCCTAATGGTTTAGCCCAAAAAAATGGATGTCTCTAAGTACTTTCTTATCATAATTTCTTTTATTATAATGTTTGTTACCTATTCATTCTAAAATTTAAAACATGCACAAACCTTACAAATTTAGATAACCTTTTTAGTTATTTTGATTTTTTATTTGATTATTAATTACCCGAATACAACTTTTTATTTCATATAGGATTTAACAAACAATTAGCAATCGTCAGTTTAAAAACTTGTGTATTTTTGTTCCTTGTAGGATCCAACAAACAAACAGTATGCAATTTTTGATAACCAGCTACAAAATATATTTGGTAAGTGAGATAAAGTTGTACTCTGAAAACAGAATTTATGAGCTTCACATTCTACTGTGCTTTCATTGTATGATACTTATTTTAAACAGGAGTATATATATAACTTTGTTTCTTAATTTATGATGAGAATTAGAGATTTTTCCAAGTTTTAAGTATGTAATTACAATGCTATTTTGATTTTATTATTGAAAGCATTGCTTTGATTGCAAGATCTGGATGTCACAATTTATTCAAAACATTTTTTTTTTCCTTTTTAGCAATTCACATAAACAAAATTAATGTGATTACCAAAATTTTGAATTCGTTTTGATATGTATAGCATGTAGTTTTGTGAAAATTTTTGACATTAATTACAACATTTTTTGTCATTTCACTACTTGTGGTTGATTTGCAAAAGGAATGGACAATTTGATAAATCTTTCAAGGACTTTTAGGAAGACATAATCATTTACCACTTTAAACAGTCGTGCTTCTCACATTGGGTTCTTTAAGTTAGTGTGTATGAAAAACTTACCAATGCTACCACCTCTTCAGTCTTATAGTTAAGTAAAAGCCACTATTAATGCTAGCCCACTTATTTGTGAACAAGGTTTTAATGTGTTAGAATTGTAAAATTGTTACTATGTGTTCTTAGTTTTTTTGAAATACATTTTGGTATCAGTATCAGAAACTTCTTGGTTTACACATTTTAGTTTCAGCATCAAATGGTACTTTAGATTGAATATGGCTATCTGTATTGGTGTTTGCAGTGTTGGGTTTTAACATTCTTTGGTTCACAGGTAATGGTGACTATCGGAAGCTAGGCATATCAAATTGATTTTAATTTATTATGTTGTGTAAAAACATTGACCTGAAGTTTGTATTATTATTAATTTGTTGTATATTGTGCTTTTATTAAGATTTCTGAAACTGTAATTATTGCAGAATGAAATTTATTTTTGTCCATTACAAGTTGTAATAATGTTGTTTTTTTAACAATAATAATTAAGAAGAAAATTTTAAATAATCATAGTTTGCTCCAACGAGTGTAAGTAGGAAGAAACAACAAAATTTAATGTAAAAATTTTTTTTTTCACTACTTATGGTATTAAAATATTCTTTTGCATACTTGCAGGTGTGAAACGTGTTAGAATGTTTGCCATAATGAAGTATTTGAAGAATCACATAAAGGATCAAAAACATACTTAATGATTATAATGAATGTTTGTAATAGATCATCCAGCCTTTGTTGGTTTAAGTGTACATTTTTTGTATTTTTAAGTGTAATACACACTAAAGAACTAAGGAGTTTACTCCATGTAAACCAGGCTTTAGTTATAAACAACATACAAATATTGAAAGTTTAAAGTAAAGGCAGGGAAAAACAAATTTGAGGTAAATTTTCCTATTTTTTGGCATATAATTTTTGAGGGAAGGAAAGTGGGGTTAATGTCATTGTACTCTGCATCCTAACATTTACTAAAGTTTTATTAGAACATCTTATTTTATCATAATATTCATATTAATGTTCAGTGCTTCATTTAAAGTACTTTGACTACACATTACAGGAAATAGACATACAAGTTAACTGAGTTGATATCTCTGTATGTCTTGAGAATGACAGCTCGACATATGATGGTGCCATGGTAGTGTTTAACTTGTCTTTTGAATAAAGTTTCTGCAAAATATGTTTGTTATACTATCCATAAAAAATAGTTTACTTTGAAATACCAAAAAAAAATATTTTTATGCACAATAAAATAAAACTTTCAGATAAATGTAAACTATTAAAGACTTAATTCTCATCAATGTGAACAGCTAATGAGACTTACTCACTATTATCATGTGAAGAGTACAATACAGTCAGTTCTTACTTATTTGAATAATTAGCTAAGTCTTAACTAAATTTTATGCTGTTCAATTTGGTCTTATATTTTCCCATTTTAACAGTCAGTTAAACCTAAACTTTAACCACGTAAATATTAAAAATAGTTCTTAACTGTTACTTGTGTGTACTTTTACATAAGCTTGTGAATGTTCAACTCAGTGTTTACTCATGAGGATTATTAAGTGATAACTGTGAGGATAAAGTGCTATATCAGGGCTGTGAAAAAAGAATACTGCAAGTACAGTAGAAAAACCCTGAAGTGAGTGTTTCAGTTACATTATGTGTTATAACAAGTATAGTGTACTGCTTGTTGACAGCCTCATATTTTCTTCCTTCAAAAATATTACGTTGTCTTTTTCTTGTAAAGTACTTGAAAAAGTAATTTTTTTAACTTAGAATAAAAGATTATTTAGAAAACCTTTAGTAAACCTTTTTCGGTCAATAAGAGAAATTCTGGTTTTGAAAAGCTGACAAACTTTATAAAAAGATTTATTTCTTAATATGTAAATAATGCAAGAGACTTTCTTAAAATGTTCATCTCGTCTATTTTCACAGTTTTAAGAGCATCACTTTTCTACAATTAAGAAAATTTGTGGATATTAACATTTTGGAGTTGTACATATATAACATATATATATATATATATACCCTCAAAGTTTTGAAGATAGTGAATGTTTTAAGTGTTATCAAAAATGTATGTACCCATTTTTCTATGTTATTATTATTATTACCCTGATGGTTACAAAACATTCAGCTGTTAATTAAATAGCATCTTGTTTTTATTACCATCATTATTATAAATATTTTTGTTTGTCATAATAGAATTAAGAAACAAATGTTTAAAGAAAAATTTTCAGATCAAAGTGTGTTATTTTTGTTTGCAGCTGTTTTTCTTTCATCGGAATTTTAATTGTAAGAAAGTAGCTGTAAAGCATAACATTAGCTTTGCAACTTTTGTAAATTTGTCTTGTAAAAGTGTATTTTTCTATCATTAAATCCTGCAGAAACGAAATAACATAGTTGGAAGAGTAGAGTTGTAGGTTCTATTGTCAGTGTTCTCAGTTGTCTAGTAGTTACAAAAGTAGCGTTTTTATTTTGCATTAACCCATTATTGTATTGTTTTTAATTTATGTTACATAATCATATGACAAAATATTTTGTTTGTTTGGCCTCTTTCAATACCCATTAAATCCACACGTGTTTAATTTTGTGTGAGTTTGTTTTATTAAACAGTTAATTTCTTTAAGGACTGAGGGACTTTCTACGATTAAAACAATAAACTAAATTCACCATATTCCTTTCATTGTTTTGCTAACCATTTACCAAAAAGTGACATAAACTATTAAGAGCAATAAAATGAAAATATTAGACTCGCAAATCATTCTTGGACCTTTCAAAATCACACTTTCATGAGATGTTCATTAGGAGTAGGGTATCCTGTCATGTAATAACCTAGGGGCTTAATGTTTCACATCAGGTCTTCTGTTTAAACAGAAACTAACTGATCAATTAAAGTTTGTAAACAACATAATGATAAATGTCGGAAATTGACATAAGTTAAAACATTAGCATCATGATCGATTTCGCATTTCGTTCGTGTTATGGGAGCATTCTGTATAAAGTAGACATATAGGAAAACCTGTACATAATCATTGTTCTTTTCAGCACTTAGTTACAAATGAAACCTTTTCAACATAAGAACATCATTTTCTGGTATTCAATGCTGGATACTATAAAGTAAGAAAATTAAAACTATTTGCCTGTAACGTACATTAATGAATAACATGTATACATCTCCTAACCGAAATCTATTGTCTAGCAAAGAGCAGACGACGGGAGCTAAAGGTTATGGACCTATGATGCTATATAGTTTTAGGCGTCGTTTAAATTATTTCAATTTTCGTTTGACACTTCTTGATAGCAATAATCCAGAAAGTAATTTCATAGGTATGTTAAACACGAGGAAGGAATATACAAGCTAATCTTATTTATATGTGGTATTAAAGATACTTGAAGCACTAATATAAAAGTATATATACTAAATACAAGTGGAGAATAGATATAGAAAAATATATAAAAACAGCCAAATGTTCTACTGATTGTTGTGATTGTGTCATCCGAAGGGCTAGGTCACTAATGCTTGAAGTTGTTGTGATGATTTACACACCTAAATGCTGCATTTTAACTTGGGGAGTGCAGAAACAAGGTAGGAATAAATACACAAAACCATACAAAAATCCCTACATAAGTAGCCATTCAATCAATGTTACAGGCTTATGGGAATTAGCCATTGTAAGACTTTATAACATTACTCAGCTTAAATATTGTTATCCATACATGAAGTCATGCAAATGAAAGGAATTCAACATTTAGTTGTAGATAAAAGTTTTTCTTGGAAAGATTTGGCTACTTATGTAGGGATTTTTAAATCGTTTTGTATATTCATCCCCACCTTGTTTCTGTACTTCTTGGCATTGCCATCCCTACATCATCCTTACTTTTTAATCTTTTTTTTTATTACTTGTATCCATAAAAATAACCTGTAAATAAAACATAACTGAATACTTAAGACATTCACAAGTTATTTACATAACATTGAAATTACTTCCAAACAGAAAAGAAAGGTTCTTATAATGTACCAACTAAAGATGTTAAAAGATACAGTATTTTAAACCTGGTGTTTCTTTTAATATTTATGTATGTATACCCAGATGAAACTGCAGATAGAGAAATGGGCTTAATGGAGTTGTGTATAAATTACAATCTTCATAGAATTACTTGGCAAAACTTGTTTAGATTATGTTATTTATAGAAGTACTATAGAATTCACTTGTTTAAATACCATTGTGTATAGATGGATTGTACAAACACTAGTTTAGATTGTTCTATGTAGATCACCTATATAAAACACTAGTTTAGATTGTTCTATGTAGATCACCTATACAAGACACTAGTTTAGATTGTTCTGTACAGATCACCTACACAAGACATTAGTTTCACCTATACAAGACACTAGTTTAGATTGTTCTATGTATATCAACTATACAAGACACTAGTTTAGATTGTTCTATGTAGATCACCTATACAAGACATTAGTTTAGATTGTTCTATATAAATCACTTATACAAGACACTAGTTTAGATTGTTCTATGTATATCAACTATACAAGACACTAGTTTAGATTGTTCTATACAGATCACCTATACAAGACACTGGTTTAGATTGTTCTATGTATATCAACTATACAAGACACTAGTTTAGATTGTTCTGTGTAGATCAACTATACAAGACAGTTGTTTAGATTGTTCTATGTAGATCAACTATACAAGGCATTAATTTAGATTGTTCTATGTTGATCAACTATGCAAGATAGTTGTTTAGATTGTTCTATGTATATCAACTATACAAGACACTAGTTTAGATTGTTCTATACAGATCACCTATACAAGACACTAGTTTAGATTGTTCTGTACAGATCACCTACACAAGACATTAGTTTCACCTATACAAGACACTAGTTTAGATTGTTCTATGTATATCAACTATACAAGACATTAGTTTAGATTGTTCTATGTAGATCACCTATACAAGACATTAGTTTAGATTATTCTATGTAGATCACCTATACAAGACACTACTTTAGATTGTTCTATGTATATCAACTATACAAGACATTAGTTTAGATTATTCTATGTAGATCACCTATACAAGACAGTTGTTTAGATTGCGAGTTGTGCTACTGTTTGTTGAACGCAGTACTGCAAATACTTTCCAGTTTTTCAAAGTATTATTTGATATCTTAATATAGACAGCAAATTACGGCTATGAGATCTTTGTTGCTGCTCTAGAAGTACACAGATAAGCTGCACCGCCTTAATCTCTCTACTTTGTCTTAAATGAATTATTCCACAGATGTCATTTTTTTTTAATCACGTAAACTGATACTGTATACTTAACTTTTCCTGTAGAATTACATGACGTTTTCATTCTTAAGGCTTTCCACCAAACACAATTGCTCAGGGTGAATTATTTTGTTGTATTTAGGGTCAATAGGAAGAATAATGTTACGTGTGTCATTTTCTGATCTCACGGAGGAGTGGGGCTTTCTCTCAACAGCCAACGCTCGCTTTTGTGGGAGTGCACGATTCAAAATAGTTCATCTCCTTCGTACCTTGACCTCCATTAATGTGTAGTAGCATTTCGTCTGAAGTAAACAAGATGTTTTAAATTTTTTAGTTCGGGAAATCGCGTTATTTACTTTACACGTATGTCTGAATGTGTCCTAGATTTTCTGAGTTTTGTTAAGTCATGTTGTAGTCTCTTTTTTTTATATATAATCGTTGAAGAAAAAATAATATTTGATCTTCAAAAGAGCGAAAAGAACATGAAAAGCTTTGTTAACGTGAATATTCGAAGACTGATGAGATTGGAAATTATCTTAGCACCTTTGAGATGCAATATAATTTGAAAACGTAAAAAAAATTACTAAATTAAATATTTAACGGGTTAGGATGTTTACAATATTTTAAAAAACTTATAAAAAAATGTTAAGTGATACTACTAAAATTGTATATCATCCAAATATATCATTTTCTTGTTTTGGATAATTTTCAGATTATCTTAATATTACTAACTAGTTGACATATTCGTTAAACGCACAGGGAAGATAGAGGGGACCAGTCCCCTTATGTCACTCCCGGAGGGGGGGGGGGATCTTTTAGCATGTAAAGTACTACATATTTTATATGCTGAGTTCTTGCACAGATCTTAAAATATAACGTTGATAAACGGAAACATCGGCACATGTAGATCTCGAAAGTCGATTTGTTCAAAATTTGAAAATAGCGTTGATAACTGGACCAATTGTCGGTTGAGATGTTGCAAAGGAAATATCTGCTGAAGCTTTTCGCCAAACACAAATCATAGCAGAACCGTCTGGAAAATGATCTATAGGAAATATTAAGAGGTTGTAACCCAGATATAGTTCCAGCTGGTGCTTGAAGTGGGGGAAAACAGAAAGTGGGATGTTTTGTGAAGTTTGTAGTAAAAATACTTAATTTAAAAAATCTGATTTTTGTGTATCCAAGATTTGTAGTGCTTACTGAAAGCTTGCCAAATTTTGTGAAAATACAGGTACTATATTAAAAGTTATAGCATTGAAACGTGGTTGTAGCCTTGGTCGCACGGACCAAGCCTGTAACGAGAGGGCTCATCCTCTCCATCCGTGCACTACTTTATTTCATTCCTGCCTCCTCTTACACAACATTTTAAGAAAAAGAAATTGTATAGTTTCTCTCCCAAGTCTCTTGCTGCCGTAAATATTTATTGTATCTTCTGTTGAACCTTTCCCTTCTGAGAAACTTACAGTCATGACTATCGTTGAGAGTGGTGGATTAGCGAATTAGACTGTTTACAGAAAGTGGGAGTGGAAAAAAAACGTGTGTGAGACTCTAGGCGTTGTACTTTGTTCCATTGTCGTATTATGCCGTTCGTACAAGTGCGAAAGGGAAGAAGAAAGAAAGGGTAAAATATTTGGCATACTCATAGGCAATTACTAAAGTACTGGGGCGATTTAAAGTCTACTAAAAGGTAGCGGGGATGGTTTCAGGACCTCCTAAAAAAAAAAGTGGGATGGCATCCCACCCCACTTCAAACACTGGTTCTGTCATGAAACCTAAGTTTCAGCCATTGAAATCATATACCGTTTCTGTTGGATATATTATTTTTTCTAGCCTGACCGGTCAAGGAACTTATCTATTTTTTCATGAGACAATTGCATTAAGTCCTACTTGACCTTCTGTTTGGTTTATTTGATAACTTTTAGCTGCTACATTGACCAGAGATATTTCGGTGCCTTTTTTCTGATTGGTCAGTTACAGAGAGAATGTGCCTTCCATGTAGTTTTGCACTTTTAGAAAAGATTAAACTCTGACCCTAAAGGAGTCAAGATGTCATGTCTATGTCATTTCCGATTCATGTGCTTGGTTTTAAATTACAGTTAACTCTGTATCCTGAGATCTTTATGTCACTTCTTGTGGAATCCTGAGTATATGCCAAGTTTGGTTGATCTGTCAAGAAAACTATATGCACGTGAGGTGGACACACACAAATATTTCTGCTTCATATAAATAGATAATGCCACAATATCTTTAATACTATTTCTCACAGTACTGTTTATATTTTACACACCCATAAATCATTTAGT